GTATAGTCCGATAAAGTGGAGCTGCTTGTAGCAGTGGTGCGGGTATTATTGGTTGTAGCCAGCGTAGTCGTCAAAGTTATACTGCTACTGCTGGTGCTGGTGACGGTGCCGGCGCTGGACGAGCTACTGCTGCTGATCGTTGTGGAGACGATGGTCGTGCTCGTCAGCGTCGTTGTCGCCTCCTCAAGATCAATGTACCACACATCAAGGTAAAAGTCGGTCTCAAGATGTGCATCCCCACCAAACACCCACAACTCGCCTTGGTCGAGAACAGCTGCATGAAACCACCGGGCCGGGGGCCTGGTTCCACTCAAGGGTGCGCTCTCTTCCCACCTGTAGGAGCCGCTCTGATCCAGGTCGAGGTACGTCAGAGCGCTCGAAAGACCTGTGCCATCGTGGCCACCGAAGACCCACATCTTCCCGGAGTGAAGATGAGCACTGTGCCCGGTTCGGCGGACACTTGTTCCACTCGTAGAGACTTCCATCCACGAAACGGGGTCCTGTGTCAGCTCGACGAACCACACGTCGTTCATTGCCCCATCGCCAGCAGATCCACCGAAAATCCACATGACAGTGCTCATCAAAACTGCGCTGTGGTCTGCTCGTGCGGAAGGTGAAGTGCTCACACTAGACATCTGCACCCACTCGGGATTCCCTGCCAAGACGTTGATGGACCAGAGGTCGTTCAGGTTGCCGCTGTTGTATCCTCCGAACACGTACAATGTCCCGGAAGTCATCACCGCAGTGTGTCCGCGTCGTCCCGGTGGCTTAGCCGCCGAAACAGTAGGCAGTGTCCAGGAAGGCTCTTGCGGATTGAGCTCCCACAATTCATCGCTCATTTGGCCATCATCGCCCTCACCACCAAATATCCACATACTCTCTCCGCTCGTTGCAGCGCTATGTTGACGACGCCCGGCGGGCCCATCAGCCATCGGCCCATAGCCATAAGTCATCTTCTCGTCCCAAGATCTTGTTGACAAGTCGAAGCACCAAGAGTCTATCGGGAAAAGGCCACCATCATAGCCATAGCCGTCACCATAGCCACCAAAGAAGCACGCGCCTGACGTCGTGAGGACGGCTTTGTGCCCCCATCTCATGTAAGGTTCGCTCCCGGAGAACGTGACTTGGCTCCAGGTCATCGCGATAGCCTGTGTCTCTCCGAGCGCTGCGAACGCGAGAAGCAGGCAGCTCCAAAGCTCAAAGCATGCCATGGCAGGTGAGTTTTTCTTTCTTTTACATATACAAAACAGTCGATACATATGTAAAGATATATATATATATATATATGAATATATGTATATATGTATATATAGACTGCATAGGTTGCACTAATTTTTATGTATAGGCGCACAAACACATATGCACAGTGTACATTGGGATAGAAGTCAACAACCTTGCTGGGATCGCGCTGTTCGCACGCCAGCCTTATAGCTGAATTCCAACATGGGCCACATGCTCACACACATAGTCTGCAAGGACACCTGCAGTCAGATCTCGCAACGGTGGCATAGAATCGTGGGCTCGGCTGACGCCTTCCTGTCGCATCCCTGTGTGACTGAACGGGTCGTGGAACCAATCCTCATCCACCCGACCCTGAAACCGCCAACCGTCAAGCATCCGCTCGAAGCATGCATCCATTCCAAAACCTCCTGTGACGAAACGCTGCTGAGAAGAGTCAAAGCTCCAAGCTGTCTAGGATGCGGAGCTGCTCCTGTCCCGCGAGTGGTGAGCGGGGCAAGCTGAGAGTTCGGAGTCAAAGCTCTAAGCCGGGCACGTGGGCTTGCCCGAGAGCTTTAAGCGCCCTCCCTGCTCATTAAAAACCATCGCTTTTGAAGCCATGACATTGCGGGGAATTACCCAGAAACTTCTCAGCTTGCGAAGGGGTGCGACCTACGACCCTGAGCAGCAGCTGCCAGCGTGATTGCTTGGAATCAGTTGGTACGGCTCGCAAAAAGCGACTGCCTACGGGGCCTACGGTCTGGAGTCAGGACCCAGGATCTCTCAGTTTGCCCTTCTGGTCTTGGAAGCTCTGTGGCCATGCTCGTTGCCCCGATACAAAGACGGTCAAGACGCCTCGCTGAGCATGTGAACCACGCCGTAGATCCTCAGTGCGAGGCGCGCCAGAACCAAGCTTCAAACTCAAAGTAGAACCTGGAAGCCGGAAAGCTCGTGCTGCCTAGTCCTCTGATAGCACACAGAGATGCGCAAATTGAGACAATCACAAGATCCCACCCCGGCCTGGCACCTTTGCAGGGAGCGGCCGATGCGAAGGCACCCTGTTGGTTCACCCGGACTATTTTCCGGTGTCCGATGAAATGTGCATTGTGGAGCATAAACATTCAGATCTGCCACCTCACCGGCTCTTTGGATGATGCAGGTTCAATATTACTCCTACCATCGTGCTCCAGGAGCCCTTCGCGCGTATTGATAATAACATACCCGGTGTCGTCGTAGCTGTATCTTGATTCGAGAAACTATACTTTGCCGGAACTGTTGTGACCTTCTACATTCCCACATACTCTTATAATTCTTTGGTATGTGTGGCGGCCCTACTGGCCTCGATCTGCGGCCAGTAGCCCCGCACATCGAAGCGCAGCTCCCAGTCCTCGCCAGCGGGTTCCCTGAAATCTTAGGTGAGTCTGCCAAGGGCCTTTAGGGCCTTTTGGCTGTTGTAAGGGCTTAGGGCTTAGGGCTCAGGATGTTCGGATGACCGGAGCTTCCTGGAGAAGATTGTCCCAGCGACTCAAGAGGCAGGCGCCTCAGCTTGCGCGACAAGCCTTCCCTGAGTGTGTACCCTCATCCGGCATAAACTAAACATTCCTCGAGAACCCAAGGCCTTCAGGCCCCGATGGACTTGCACAATGTGCCAGAGGGCTCCAGCTACATAAACACAAGAAGAGCATAGAACCAATGAGAGACAACCTGAGGACAGTGACTCTGCGCTACGACCAAGGTGACCCAGCACTAACACTTGCTTCTTGGAGCATTGACTTGCAATGTGTCTCATGGTTGTCGTGTTGTGTGCGGAGTTCTCTTCCTATTTTGTATCATTTCGATGAACATTGCTTTCCAGGCTTTTCGAGTGTCGGTGTTTGTGCATATATACAAACACCATTCTCGTCATGCCCCAAGTCCGCCCCGTCCCCGCCGTCCTGCAGCGCAGCTGGGCGACTGGGCTCCGGGCCCGGTGCCCCGAGGCGCAGAGTCAGCGCCGCGGGGGAGAGGTTTGCGCCGAAGGCGAAGTAGCGCCGCATCGGCTTGGGATAGGGGCGGATAGGGAGGGACTTGGACTTTTGGGATCTGGAATAAGGGTGCTGCTCGCGCGGCATGAACTCTCTCGTGTGTAGCTTTGAACTTCCGTTGAGGCTTGTGTCTTTCGCAGGACTGTAGGTGCATTCCGGCTTTCGACCGGGCCAACGGTGGAGAAAGAGTTGAAACAACGTGTATCCGATCACTTTACCTTTGCTGTCCGGTTGCGATCTTGATCCATACGTCAGGCAGTTCGCACAACGTTTCGGGATCGTCCGTCGCACTGCATTCCAGCTCTGTCTGGAAGTGGCAGATTCGTGTTCATCTTCAATTTGTTTGCACATGCCTGAAAAATCGTGTCTAGCCCAGTCTTCTCTACATGGGTCACAAGAGCCGGGCCCATCTGTGCAAGCATTGCGCGTGACCGCGCATTCCAATCCTGGCAAAGGCGTTCTTGCAAAAATTTTGTGAGGAGCAATCGAATGGTCATAGGATATGATCGGTCTGTCTATGAAGCCTCCTACGATTGCCTTCACAGGGCATCCCGAAGCAGGCAGGTCTGCGCCAAGCTCCTAGTTTTTTAGGGTCTAGGGTGCAGGGCTTCCAAGTTGAAGCCCAAGCCTATGCTTCCTAAACATGGACGGCTGAGTACAGTCTGGCCGCGGGCCTGCCGGTCGCTTCTCTTTGGAGGCGCTTTGGCCTTCAACAGATCGGAACATGTTAGCGTTGCAGGTTGGGGGTCGCCGCGGAGCCCAAGTATTTTCCGAAGCCATCGAACCTGAAGACCTGAAGTTTGCACATGGGCGACATCTTCACAGTGCTCGCGAAAAGAGGCACCAGAAAACAACCGGGCCGTATCTGTCTGAAACGAATTCCGGAACGTGCTGTCCTGCTTGACCACGCTGCAAGCATAATACAGCCGAAAAGAAAATCTTTCTACAACCGCAACATCCGTGAACCGGAACAGACGTTCTGCTCAAGTGCCTATGTCTGTGACCCTCTGTTTTGAGCTATGACGGTTTGAAGTCTTGTACTTCCTGCGATCTTCTCCTGGAAGTGTGATTTCATGTGTGTCGTGTTGCGCCCTGCTGCGTTCTGCCGCAGATGGCCCATGACCAGACGTCTGCTCCACACTGAAAACATGCGGCATCATACCCTTATCTTCTCTCGATCATGACATGTCATCCTGCTACTTCAGCCTATGCATCTTGCTGTGCCTTATTAGAACTGCTATTAAGTCATCTTACGTTTTGCACCAGTTGCGAAGTCACACCGTGCACATGAGCGGAGCGCGCAAAAGGGCGCCTTTCCCACCGGTTTCGGGGCCTGAGCCGACACAGGCCCAGGGCATCGCGAAGACGACGACGACGACGACTACTGCTGCTGCTACTACTACTACTACTATTGCTGCTACTACTACTACCACTACCACCACCTATTGCTGCAACTACTACTACTACTACTACTACTACTACTACTACTGCTACTGCTACTGCTACTACTACTACTACTGCTACTGCTACTACTACTACTACTACTACTACTACTACTACTATGATTACTTCTGCTACC